TACATCCTCAGTGTGGCGGATACAGACAGATGAGCAGATCTGAGTGGTTTTGAATTATATATGGCGCCTTACTTCTGTTCTTCTTGGTATCTTTTTTTCTTGCTCTCCTTATAACTATGAAAGCTATTCTTTTCCTATGTAGGGACCAAACAGAATGAGCTATCAGTTTTGTATGTCTTTTTTGCATCTTCCTCTGATTTTTCATATATTTTAGCAAGGACCTCCAAAGTTCCTGGTTATATCCCCCATAACTCAAACTTAGTAAGACATGAAGCTCACTTTCCTTTCTTTGTTAGTCTTCTCCTCCTTGCCACCATGTTTTACTTTATTATACAGCCTAATTATTGATCACATTTAATTTAAATTATCGTTCTTTGCAAGACATCAGATGTCCCCACAATACCAACAGGTTGATCCCTTTTTTGCCACTGCCCATCTGTGTATTTTCCAAATGGTTTTGGGGCAGAGCATTTCTCACCCTGGGGTCAGTCCCTGTATCATTAGCAACAGACAAGAAGTGAGCCACTTAGAAGCCAGCCCATGGAGATAACATTGCTCCTTTTTGCCTCAGAAATTGATGTATTTTGAGTGTGTGAAATCCTGTGCATAATTACTGTGTACTCTTTATGCATTTTAGAGTGCATACATATATACACACATATATATCTTTTGTTGTTGTTGTTGTTGTTGGGGTTTTTTTGTTTGTTTTTGTTTTTGAGCCATCCTACGCAGTAACTATTGTGTATGTCAGGGATCCTTGCATATTTGTTCTGTGTGCTTCATAAGCATGTATTTGATTGCCATGTTTATGGAGTTTCTTCAGCTTGTTTTGTATGGGCTTTAGGACCTTCTGGTATATGCTTAGATGGTCAGAGATTAGATTTCTCCAATGTCTTTTTTAAGGAACCACAATGTATTTCTCTAATATTGACAGAATGAGAAGACGTAAATGAGAGTTTTAATTCAGTGGTGTTCTCGGGTTCCTGATTAAGCTGCTAATGAAGGACATGAGTTTAGTTATTAACTGTACTTTATTGCAATCTTTATGCATTTTGATTCTACATGAAGGGTAAGACTTCGTTTTTCTTTTTCCACCTTTTTTTTTTGTTTGTTCTTTTTTTGAGGAGTAATCCAAAATTAGAAACTCTGTCCCATTATCCCATTACCTTCTTGTCAAGCTATTGAGTGAGCAGAATGTATCACACTGCACATTAAGAAAGATGTAAAATCAGTAAGACACAGAACAGAGAAGATACAAGTGGCATTTGTGTCACTGTCCTGAGATCCTAAACACTGTGTGTTGATACTACAGTGTTGTTTTCAAAGTTATATGAGTGTGTCATATGTTAATGCCTCAGTGCATACATGAAGGACGGACTGAAGGACTTCATACATGTGAAGGACTTCAGAAGCAACATGATGATTCAGTTAAATGTTGTTGCAGCAGCTTCCTTGAGAGTTGGACTCAGTGATCCTTGTGGGTCCCTTCCAAGTTAGAATATTCTGTGATTCATTACTTTTCTGTGTTGGCAAAATCACAGATGTCTTTTTTCTTTTGCTTTTTCCTTTTTTTTTTTTTTTTTTTTTCTCTGATATTAGGGAAAACACATATGATTAGTGTAACCTGTCTTTCAGCTTTCTTATTTATAGTTGTAAAAACAATGACTCCTCTGGAAATTAAAAAATCTTATCACAATCCAAGGATCCTGCTTTATGAGTTGCAGGACTGTAATTATTCATAAGTGCTGTTCTTTCTGTCTTAATTCTCAATTATATCCCCAAATAATCCATGTCACTGTTCACAGGATTGGATGCAGAATAAAAAAATATTGTTTCCTAATAATAATTTCCCCAGATCGCTTATTCATGCAGAAGGATCAGGTGCATCCTAACCTTTCTTCTTACTTGGGTATCAAACATACAGATAGAGTATTTTATCACTTCTGGTTTGCTGTATCTCTGTCTTAGTTTAACTAGATCTTGTATTGATCTTATTTTTTATTTTCATTATATAATTTATAGGCCATAAAAACCAGATTGTTCAAAGCTCTTAGTGTTACTTGAGCAAATTCCCTTTTAGGACACTTGTATTATTCTGTCCAAAAAATCTTGTTTGGTTATGCAAGTAGTTGCATATTCTGTTCCTCTGAACTGTGATCCATCTTTTGAAATTTAGCTGTTTGCAGTGGCCTTGAGGTCTTTTGCACTTCTTGGTCTTTACAATTTCTTACTATGTTTTTGACACTTGTTTCCTTAGAGCTGAAAGACAGAATATAGAAAAAAAATTCTCACACATAATTTTTTTCCATTGTTTTACCAAGCTTTATTATTTCATGTGTGTGGGTTCCTCAAATACATTTAAAGTGTTCTTCTCTCAATATTATCTGTGAATTTTTATCACATAATCTGCTTATTTGCAGGTGAATTGTGTTAAGTCTAGGCCATACAGTGAAGAGTATGTGAAAAATACACATGGCTCATTGTTCAACTTTTTTTGGTTTTTTAATCTTCACCCTATAGAGGGAGTATATCTTCTTATTGCTAGGATGGTAAAGAGTGACTATTTAATCTGTTATATACATAATAAATATTTTTCTGTTGCACTTTACTCTGTCCACCAAATATATTTTTATTTATGTTTACCATTTATATTGGCTGCTCTTGTTTAGCTGTGTGAACTACTTTTATAAATGCTTTATTTGCTAAAATATGTGATTCCATCTGTTCCAAAACTATTTTTAAGTTTACCTACTTCAAAAGCACACTTCCATTTGCCACTATGAAATGCATAAAAATACTTTTTTCTTACATAAAGACAACTGTAAGGATAACAGTCTTGCCAAGTGACATTATTTTACCCTAAAATTACAAATTTTCTAAAAATTTCCTTGCAAATTAATTATTTCTGCTGTTTGCTATGCAGTGTTTTCTCCTTTTTCATCTCCAGAATTATTTACGGTATACGTGATTAATGCAAATCCCGTTTTTCTATAAAATGGGAAGGCAAAAGTTAAGTGAGATCTATAACAGCCTCAGTCTCATGCACTTTTAAGGAAACTCCTCAGATTAGGTGGTAGGTAGTATGTGTCTGGAGGAGGACTGTGAAGAAACATAAAAATCCAATTAAATGAAGTTGGTGGGAAGTAAAGAATATGTAAAAAAAATTTAGAATAAGAAGTAGCAGAAGAGGCAGTGTGGAGGGATCTGAAGAAAAGATGGAGGCAGACAGGAAAGTCCACAGAAGCAGGGCATAAAATGTAGGAGGGTTATGGGGGAGGTGAGCAGAATAAAGCAACAGAGAATGAAGGACAAGATGGGAAGCAATTTTCTGAGTTTTCTTCTAGAAAATGTTAAAAATACTAAACCCCAATCCTTTCTTGGCTTTTGTCATTTAAGGTCTCTTTATTCACACATAATGTTTTGTTCTTTGCTAGTTCAGTCTCTTTGCATTTAACAGTCTCCTTGTGAAAAGTGTATTTCAAATAAATCCGTATTTATTGCCTTAAGAAAATGTGAATGATTTAATTGCAGAGGATCATACTTATTGCTATAGATGGTAACATGAAAACACACAAAAAACAGAAGAAAGGAAAAAGGGAAACATAAACCCTCTCATCAGAATAGCCATCAAACAAGAAACAAGGTAGAATTCTTGAGCATTAGCTTTATGTGCTGTTTAACTTTTTTCCAGAATGGAAAACTCTAGTTTCATGGAGTCGTTCTAGCTTGACTTCATCATACACATGATAAAAAGATTTTTTTAAACTAGCATCTGTCCTAAGGTAGCATGTTCTTAATAAAAGTTGATGAAAACTGGCATACTGAGGGTTTTTCCTCCAGGAACTAATGCAATCAATATTTTAATTTAAATATTTGAAAACACTTGCTAAACCTCAACTAGAAAAAAGCTAGCCTTATCAGAGGCTGCCTGTTGCAAACACTGCCATGGTGAGCCAGCCCAGGCTTCTCCCCAGATGTCTTCACTATGATAGTGGACAATACTGGATTCTTTTCAAAAGCTCCATGAAATGACAATAAGTAATTAATAAATAGATTTCATCAAAATGTCTGTTAGGTGGAAATGGCCTTAAAATGTAAGGTATGAGAACTTACGTTCTTTTCCAAACTTTTTTCCCTGTTTAAAATCTAAATATTGTGATCTAGATCTTAAGTGTCCAACCCACTTTTGGAATCTGAAGTTCTTGTTGTTAGCATTCTTTGCCAAGTCTTACAGTCAGAAAAAACTATTTCCATTTTAGTGCTGATGATATCAGATTTTTTTTTTTTTGTGAGATGGCACTTTGCTCATTTTGCCGCACAGGGCATGAAGTTCCTCAGTCTGTGAATATATTACAGGGCATATAATGAGGTGATTTTATTTATTTATATTTATATATATATTTATATTTTTATATATATATTTATATATATTTTATATATATATATATATATATATATATATATATGAGTGTGTGTGTGTATGTATATATATGTGTGTGTATGTATATATATATATATATATGAGTGTGTGTGTATGTATATATATATGTGCATCATATAGCATATATATAGATACAGATGTGTACTAGATAGTGTATGTTTGTGTATATATCTATATATACACAAAGATTTTGTGTTCTTCTCTCATACAGAAATTAAGTTCCATGTGAGAACAGTCCTTCAATCTCTCAGTGCATGCTGACACACTTCAACATTTCATTCTGTGTTGGGCCATCTGTAACTCTCAGTCAATGTCAGTTAAGACAAGGAGGTATTTGTGGGGAAAAGGAAATGCCCACTGATTAACTGTTTTGGTTTTTTATACTTGCTTTACAGGCCAAAGTTCAAAAAACATCAGTTCATCTCCAAGCATAGAGAGCTTGTCTGGAGGACGTGAATTCACAGGATCTCCACCTTTGTCTGCTTCAAAAAAGGATTCCTTTTTCAGCACCATCTCCCGCTCACGTTCCCAAAGCAAAACTATGAGCAGAAAAGAGTCGGTGGGTGCTTTTTGCTTTCAAACTATTTTAATGTCACACTGCATTAACTTACTCATTAGAGACACTCATGTCTTCCATACATTGAGCACTTCCACTTGGAAATGTTTCCCTAAGCATCCATTAATGGCCAAAGCAGAAATAAGCTATTTCAACTTTTTGTGTTGAGTGACATCTCCATTATGGCTTCCATTCCATTATCCTGCCTGAAATGAAACTGTGAAAGTGCCTGTTGCCTCTGAGAAAGACGAGAGAAGTCCTGTAAGGTTTTTTGGTTTGTTAGACTTTTGCTGTAGTCCTGAAGTTAATAAACAGTTCAGTGGGAAGCTTCAATGCTCAGCAGATCCAAACATGTCCATCTGTTGTCCCTGAAATTCCTTAATACATCAGAGGTTTCCCAGTGTCTGTAGCATCTGTAGTCTGCAGTCACCGTTCTATTTCTCATGCAGCTCTGACCTTCCATTTGGTCACAAGAAGCTAGTATTTAAAACAGGTAGTTTTTATCCAAGAAAATCAGCTCTTTTCATGGGTATGTTCCAAAGAAATTCTCATCTCATCCAGATATTTTAGGAACACTGCTTTGGTTAACTAGGTCTGCCAGGGAACATGAGGATTCTTGTTTATTCTCTATACACATTTCCCTTTGTCTCTCTGCTGACTAGAAAACAGTTACACAGTAGATGTAATAAGTTGTATTTTTTGTAAGGTGACGGCACAGTGGTTTTCTCCATTATTTTTTTCAGAAATGTAGACTCATATTGATTTCAATATGTAGGAATTGTAATAGCCAAATTTCTGTTACAGCATTCTTCAGGTGTTCAGAGCTAATAATGCACAGAAATTTCATCTGAACTTCTCAATGCTTTTTACTATAAACAGCAGAATCTTAATTAATAGTCACATCATGTTTTCAGTTTTATATTCAAGACATTCTAATGAAATGCACAACTTCGTGCAACTTTTTTCAGTTTTTGTTCACTGAATGAGAGTGTTTAATTCTTGTTCCAAATGTTTTACTGTTGTCTAAAGAAAAGCTGTGTTTTGTGGTTAGTCAACAAGAAGCTATAATTTTGGTTTGTGACCATTTAAAACATGTTGAATTTAATTTATAGCTAAAACAACAATTTAATTCCTTTCTGGTTGTCCTCATGAGTTGAAGCAAAATAAATACAGCAGTATTGAACTTTTCTTTTTATGAGGCTTAACAAGATCTAAATACAACTTTCATTTGCAACTTTTATCCAGGCCAGAACTTGGGGGTTTTGGACCAGTAGAGTTGAAGAATAAGTCCTCCCTTAGTCCTCTGATAGAAGACAGGAGAATTTACCATTATATATTTATACTCAATTAAAATCCATTTATTGTTAACATGTTTTTTCATGTAAATAATACCCCAAATTTGCAATATTATATTAATGCTTTCATAAAGAATTTTGGATAAAGAATTATGCATTATATCAGATTTGTTGTCCTTATGATAATTTTTAGTGGATTGGTAATCATGATAAATCAGGACATAAATTTTCAAAATAGTTCTTTGAACTGTAATATGTAATTTATATTTTTGCATTGTATGATTAAACAGCTAGAAAAGGTTTTAAGCTATCAAAATCCATTTCCTTGAGTTCAGTTTTTGACTGTCCCTTAATATAGGCAAACGGAATTTGTAGCTGATCCAAGAGAAAAAGGTTTGTGTAAATCTATTTTCTGTTGCACAAGAGAATGTTGGGTTTTGTTTTCCTGTAAATTTCATGGTACTTCATTGTTCACAGAGTCAGAGACTCCAAAGAGTTTTTCCTGAGGTCCTCAGTATTCTCAAGTTGAACAATTGCTTCATTTACAGCTGTGTTCTGGAAGCAGAAGGCTTCAAAATATAGTGGATCCACATTGTTTTATTTATCAAACTGAACTGGTTTACATTTTTAATCTTATAATTATACAGATTATGTTGTTAAGTATTAGGGAAATTACCTTTGTTGGAACATTGCCATGCATCAATCTCTTTATAAAAAGATGGTTTTAAAATCACTTATTCTTGGTGTGGCAGATGAAAGATAATCCATTTTCTTTTCATCCTTGTATCTCTAATTCAAACCCTTTCCAAGCAAAGTGGAAATTGAATGCATATATAAAAATATGCCCTTTAACATGCAGTTAAAATAAGTGATTTTCATAGACCGGAGGGCGTCGCTGTAATAGTGTCATGGGATGGACAGGAATGTCATTGTCTCAGATGGCACCTGGACTGCTGTGTCCAGGACTGGGCTCCTGAGTACAAGAGAGATGTGGGCATACTGGAGAAAGTCCAGCAATGGCCACAAGGGTGAGGGTGATGAAGGGACTGGAGCATCTCTCCTGTGAGGAAAGGCTGAGAGAGCTGGGACTGTTTAGCCTTGAAAAAAGAAGGCTCAAAGGGGAGCTCTCCAGTGTGTATCAGTATCTGCAGGGAGGGTATAAAGGGAACAGAGCCAGGCTCTTTTTAGTGATGCCCAGTGGCAGGACCAGAGGCAATGGGCACCAGCTGCAACACAAGAGGCTCTGTCTGATCATCAAGGAAACATTGAGAACAGCTGAGCACTGGAAGATGTTGCCCAGGCAGATTGTGGATTCTCCATCCTTGGAGATATTCAGAAGCCATCTGGACATTAATCCTAGGCATCCAGCTATGCTTGGTGGCCCTTCTTGAGCATGGGCTTAGGCAAGATGAGTTTGTGAGGTCCCTTTCAACCTCAGCCCTTCTGGGATTCTCTGAGAGGATAAACTCTCACAGAGGAATATGACATGTCTAAATTCTTTCTTTCCTAAAGCCAGTCCAACAAGTTGGGCTTTATCTGTGAGAATTGCTATCAAAATTGATACTTAACTTGTTTCATTACCTCCAGGACTAAAATGTGTCCATTTCTCATACTAAGGACTTCTTAAGGTTAGTAACATTTGGGTTATATTTATTCTTCTATGTATTTCTTTTTCCCCTCAGATGCAAAGATCAGAGGAGTGACTTATTTCTGTTACCAGAAACAGACGTCCTCTGTTTTATTTAGTTAAAGAAATGAATCTACAGCCTCGGGGCTGAATGCACAATATCAGTTCATGTTTTGGCAGCCCATGGCATGCTGATGTTTTTGATGTTACTGTTGAGTGGCACAAACCAGTATGTTAATGTGAGGTCCCCCAAAAGGGTTTTGGAAGCCTGATTTGTACCCAGCATTGAGAGGTTCCCTGCTCCTTTTTATCCTTGTGGATTTCTGACAGGAATAACTTAAGCAGCAGTTTCTGAAGCTGTCTTCCCGTAAACAAACACAGGAATTTTTAATCTGTAATGCACTCTAGTGCCCACCACATTGAACCACCAATGGTTCAATCTTGCTGGAATAAAGTTCTACACAATTTTCTCACCCAACTTGTCTACTGCCCTCTACTTTTCATTGGAGCTGTGAAAAAGGGTGCATTTGTGGTCCATTTATTTCTCATTATGTTTCACTTATGACTTCAGAAACCATTAAAGAACATCTTCCCCTCTTTTTAGCAAACAGAAAAGCTGCTTAGATGTTGATTCTGGCAAATATGGTCGGCTGATCCTAGTTTCTGGCAGAATATTCTGTAAATTGCTCTCAGACACAGGGATGCGCCAGAAAGGAAACTTCTGAATCAAACAATATAAACATTATTAAAACTTTCTTTAAAAAGAAAAAAAATTAGGAAAATGTGGATTTTTCTGAAAATAAACTTTTGATTTGGAAAAACATTGTGTTTTAATAAGTAAATTTCTACATAAAAGGTTTCAACTTAAGAAAAATCTAATTATCCATTTGGAAAATACATTTGTTAAAAAGTTCCCAAGACGGAAACATTCCTACGGAAAATCTGGAGCATTTGTTTTCTTTACTAAGATAATTTACAGATATGGTCATCAGAATCCTCATTTCTTCACAGAAATATCCTGAACAGAAGTGTCATGCATTATACTGGTTCTGATTGCACAGACTTTTTAATTAAATCAAATTTGACAACATATGCTATTGTCCCCACAAGCATGTATAAACAACTGTTACTGCCTGTGATTAATGTAGCTAGTCTGACTGATTTGAAGTTAGTTATGAGTACCCCTACAGGTTAGAAAATTAATGTATGCCATTATTTTCAATTAAATAGGCATCTGCTGTGGTGATTTAAGAACCTGAGTTTAGGCATACAAACTTGACAGGTCTGCTCAAGTAGACGTGGTGTATGAAAACCAATGAGATAATAAGATAAATACTAGACAATCACACAAAGAAAACCACATACACAAAAATTCCTTTGGAGAAGAACATGCCTTTTGTGTATGGTACACATCTTGGAGATGTTTTTTATTACCATATATCTTTCCCATGACTGTTGCTTTTTTTAAGCAAAATATTTGTCAGTTCAGACTTATCAATGCGAAACATTTATTTGGAAGTACAAATGCTATGAAAAAATGTCCTTTTCTGGTTAAGCATCATAAAATGTGCCCAAAATAAGTTCATTTGTGTGTGTACATCAGCCAATTCTTGATCAGTATATTGGATTTGTTAGGTCTGAAGTTAAAGACATGTTGATTATTCTCAATGTCATTAAATTTAAAATACTTTAGTGCCTTAATGTTTAACTGTAGTTAAGGCTGGAGGACATACATGGTCCTTATTCTGATGTGACAGTCCAATTCAGACACACACAAAAAAAAAAATTATATTCCAGTGCCTGTCTAATTTTAGGGTTCAATAAAAAGAATATTGAATTTCAGGTGCTGACAGGTCACATGAACAGAGTTTATAGAAAAATCTCTGAGATATTTTGGAACTATGGTTCTTTTCTTGGTTGCCTTCCTCTGGCTTACATGACATCATGTAACTCAGATGAAAGAGCTGAAAACATTAGAAGAAAAAATAAGTTGCCTTTTATAGTTTTTATTATAAGTACTTGCAAGTTTCTTATAATTTAGTAAGGCAACAGCTGTATGCATGAGTAGCAGCTTTGAATCC